CTGGTCGAACCACAATGCGTGGTGCCGCATGAGAGCGGTGAAGGGGGGTGGGTAACGCGGAGGGCAAACAACGTCGGGGCGAGTCTCGTCCCGGCGTCTCCGTGATGCGGACCGCCAAATTCCACAACACGCAGACGGGGGATCATCTCACCCACGGAGGACGGCTGGAGATGCAGCTCGAGGACAGGCTGGTCCGGTGGCTTTCCGTCGTCCAGCCTTCTTCCGGCATGCGACAATGGTAGACCGGACGTGGTCCTGCTTGACGAAGACCAGTGAGTGGAATGGTGAACATACTCTACTCCGACTCACGCGAACCACTTGCTTTGAGAAAACAGTATCCACTGCAGACGAAAATGGCGGCATGGTCCCAAGTCAGGGTACGTTATGGAACCGGCTAGGAACGCGGCAGATGAGTAGGGCTTGATTATGAGCAGACATTCTCCTAACCAGGTACAGTGTACTCACTCGACTGCAACATTCCTCGGCATCCCGGTGCCGTCTGGAATCACTGTTGGTACAAAGATATCAATACTCGTGCCCCAGGACAGCACCAGTCGACTCACTCCCATTGACGTGTCCCGCCGTGTGGTTCGTACGTCGCGGTTCCTGGCTTGAGTACGGGGCGCAGTTATCAACTTGGAACCACATGTTCATATCGAAGCAAGGTGCGTCGGCGAGAGGTCATGGGTCAAGCATACTGACCCAGGACGAACCGTCTGCCTAGGATCGGCTGGCACTGGCGGTGGTCTCCCTGTCTGGTCGGTGATAGCGGGCAACTTCATATGAGCCTACCAGACGGATGCCGGATAAAACGGTCAGTGTCACATTCCGAGAATACGAAAGAGTGGGCTTACATCTGCGGACAGAACCAGACGTCAGCGCATATGCCACGTGCTTTGTCTGTAATGTCAGCCGGGATCGTGCATACCCTGCTCAGAGATGACACACCAATAATCGCGTATCATGTGTCCCTTCGGAACGACGTATCCTCTGCTGAACGGACTACGGAGGCGTGTATTATGTTGATAACACTTCGATCGATGTACAGCATACTGCACGGCCCAAATGTCAGTCCTTGAGAAATCCGAAATGAAGGAGACATCAACAACGTACATGATGATTTGTCATAGACGATAGCTGACTGCTGCTATGTGCGACTGGCAAACCAAACATCAGGATTGAGCGTATTATGCTTGATGAAACATCAAGCCACCAGGTCAGCAGAAAGAAGACGATCTCTTCCGGATGCACGTCACTTTGATCCAAAGCACTGGGTTTGAAAGTGAGCAATTGTCGCCGTACCACCGGCGTTGAATGCTATTGTGACTGTGAGTTCACTAGTCTCGAAAAGAATACACGCAGAACTTGTCTCACCGTTGAATGCCGCGCTTGGACATATACCGCACAATCGTCACAGCGTGCTTGATCGAAAGATCATTAGACGGAAGAGTGGATGGTAGAAGGGGAGAGTGCAAAGCAGAGACGGGCAGAATGATGACTGTGGGTGAATTCGAGTCGGCTTTATAGGCCACTGGTCAGGGGAAGCTGTGCCCGCGGTGGTCCGTGCGCACTCGGAGAATTCCCAGGATACATCGTACCATGTTTCAGAATAAACTCCGTGCCGCGCCGGGTGTTGATGCGCCGAATTTCCCTCGCCTCGCTCGCGTCTTGCCTCGCCTGTGTGACCCATCTGTAAAGAACACTCCGACGGCGAGTTGGCCATCGCCGGACAGCACTGTTCCTTAGTGTTTGATGGATGGCATGTGGGCGCCTACCTAGACATATGTTCTTCGGGTATGCGCACGTAAAGCTCACAATCAGGTCGGGAATCCGTAGCAGGCAGTTCTTTCGGGGCAATGCAAGAACAATGGACAACAGCGAGGATGTTACATAGGAGCTGACAACCAAATGCTGGAAACGCTACCAAGATCATGGAACGTCTGGGCGAAAAGCTCCGAGTGCAGAGACATGACTGTTCGCAGCAGAGGAGGACAGGAAAGAGGACGAAGGAGGACGGCGAAATAGGCGCCCGCCGCCACAGCGGTCAAGAGCCTCGTGTTTGGCCATCGGGCTGCAATCTCGGTCTCATCCACCCGCCTTCGTTTGACTCGCACCTCATCCGTCACTGCAGCGGCAATCCTCCATGTCCGCCGTGAAGTGCTTAAGATATGCAGACTGTGCATATGCTGGATTGGTATGTGAATATGGCCGTGTAGGCCAACAATAGACAATCAAGTACTAGTACTCTTCAATAGTAGTAAGTATCTGCGAGTCTGAGTCCGAGTCGAGTCCCGCCGACCGTGATTGTTACGACAATGGGACACTGTCAGTATACTCATCTATGGTATTTTCTCTGTGTCATACAAGTGACATTGCATAGAAAGCCGGAATACATGTTTGTCATCCTCGGGGAGGACACTGTTCTCCGAGGATATCTTCCGGAATTGGGCTATTCCAAGGCCGGCCGGTATCCTCGGGTAGTGATGCCCTTCCCACCGGGAATTACTGACGAGACTCATCCGCCTCGGAACCCCGGCTCGCGTAGAAGTGTTTCAGGCCTAATTGCCTGATCTGAGATCTGTGAGGTCAGACTCTGTCTCCGAGACTGCAAGTCTGCAGCTTCAAAATGGATTCATGTGAGTTCTATGTACATGTGAGGCTATAAGAAAAAAGAGGCAATGGAAAGAAAAGAGGCATAGCTGATATGCCAAGGAACACTTCCAAAACAGGGCCTTAGCCGCCATCAGTCACCAATCCTCGGAACAGCGGAGAGCGCTTAAGGACAATAGCTGTGGCTGAGACACTGAAACCGGCAGCAGAAATTGAGCGGCCAGTGGTCTGACAATAGAAAATAAAAATACACTATAAGTATCCTGGCCCTTCGTGCTCGCAGCCTTGTCCATCCTTATGTCACTATGCCCCACTATGCTACATTCCATCCCATTCACTATGTCGTGCTTGACTTCGTTGTCGCACAGGTACTTAGTGAACTTAATTATCTCAGCTCGCAACTACTGACATTTGTCTATGACAGATCCTCTCCCGCATGCCCAACGGAGCATGAAATGCATGTGTCGCACCAGGTATGCTCTGTTCTCGACGTCATGTCTCACTCACTCACTCACTCGCTTCCCCGACAGCAGCCTTCCCGGTCACGCCAAACTCGGTGTCGAACGCCTGCTCTATGCCCCGCTCGGCTGGCCAGACGACGTGGAAGAGCATCGCCGGCGAGTCCCCGAGGGCACGTAGTCTGCGCAGAGGTTCGTCGTCGACCCGCTCGTCTCACTAGTGACTGACGCATTTCCGACAGCTTGCGCATCCTCTGGCTGAGCGAGCGAGATTGCCGGCCAACGCTCGCCAGGCGTCCGTGCGGAGAATCGCACGAACACCCGCCGTCCGACAGCCGACAAGGCCATTGCAGTCCTGCAATACCGTGGTGGGCATCCCGGAAGACCGGCGACGCCCCATTCTCACTTTGGGCGGGATTGTACGGGCCTCATTCGGTTGCTAGACCCATGTGCCGACGACGTATTGCTGCACGTCTATGTCTCGATCACGTCCCGCTTGGTGAGTTATCCCTACTGGTGCTTGTGAGGAGCCGTAGCTTACCTCGCCTTGCACCGGTCGACGCAGGACCAGTATCCCGTGATCTATACATCAACGTTCTTCATACGAGAGTCGCCCGGTCCCCGTGGATGCCCAGCGCTGCCCGGAATGCACGCCCGATCCTTGGAGTGTTGCGGGCGGCAGAGAGCAACATCCATGCCCAGCGTGAACCCGCCCGGTGAGCCTGCGTTCCTAGGTGCACGCTGTTAGCCATAGCTTACCTCGTTTCCCGCAGGTCAACCGACATGCTCGGACGATGCGCAACGGTCAGACATCCGGGTCGCCTCTCACCGCCCGCGCCCGACGTGTCCCAGGCGGCCGAAACGGCAGCCCGTTCGCACACATCCTGGTTAGTCCACACCTCTGTCAGCGTTCACCACTGACCTAGCCTATCACAGGCTAACATCGCGCGAATGTCCCACCGCCGATCTGATGTGACGTTGACGTTCTCCTACGACAACGTTTGCGGCAGCCGACGACCATCCCTAGTGGGTTTGGACGACTTGGACGCCTCCCGAGTCAGTCCGTGCTGGACCATGCCACGAAACCCTTGGACGTATCGCGTCGCGCAGCTCGCCTGGTCAGTGGACTCTGCTTGCTGGTTCTCGAGTGGCCACCACTGACCTGGGCTTTCATACACCAGCACTGCACCGTTAGCAGTCGACGTCCGAGCACCCCGCTGTTCATGACCAGCAATGTCACGACGTATCGGCGTCCGGCGAGCGGGACCATTGGGAACTCATCCCCGCCGCACGTCTTCTTCGTCCGCCGCGCGTCACTCTCGCCGGCGTTACCCTCCCGCGACCCTCGTTGCCGGGGCGTAGGCAGTTGCCTGCGCTGCCCAGTTGCCTCCGACACGGCACGCGATCGGCAATGTAACGACGTATCGCCGTCCGGCGAGCAGGGCCACTAGGAACCCACCCCCGCCGCGCACCACTCTCGTCGGTGTTACCCACCCGAGCCCCACACTGAGGCTCGTCGCCGGGGCGTGGGCAGTAGCCTGCGCTGCCTGCTCGGCGCGCGATCGACGATGTAACGATGTATCGCTGTCCCACGAGCAGGGTCCCCAGGGGTGTCATCCGGCCTGCGGTAGTTGTCAATAGCCCGTCACCCTCGCACGCGGCGACCTCGAGGCGAGCGGGATGAGAGGGCACTGGACGAGGTGCAGAGAAGACGGTACGGAGATCGGGACAACGGACGCGTTGCGTGTGGTTACACTGCGCAAGTCCTCCTTGGCATCTCCCCCTCGTCTACAGCCTGTACTGGGCCAGCCGGGTTATGAGCAAGGTGTGGCGGTCCGGCTGCAGTCGAGGCCTGCGTTGCGTCTCCACGCCCTGCGCGTCAAGTTGCAGTCGCTGCGAACGACGATGTAACGACGTATCGCCGTCCGGCGAGCAGGGTCCCCAGGGGCATCATCCGTCCTGCTCTGTGTATGTTTGTCGATGCTCCCGAGTCGCTCGTTGCCCCGATATGCAGCAAGCTTGATGTCGTCATCCTCCGCTCCGGTTCGTCACTGGACTGCCTGGAGCCTGCGACCGACAATGTAACGATGTATCGGCGTCCGGCGAGCGGAGCCCGTCGGACGGACGCATTGCAGGTCCCTGCCCTGCGCCATTCGTCGTTGTCCGCAGTCGCAGTCTGTCTGTACGTGGGTCTTCACTGCCGCGGTGAACGACGGTGTCTGCATCCGGCCAACGGGGTTGCAGAGCAATGGCATGGGTCGTCCAGGCTGCAATCAGCGCGAACGATAATGTCACCACGTATCGGCGTCCGGCGAGCAGGGTCCAAGGAAGCTCGAAGAGGGGTCGCACGATGATGGGGAGGACGGACGTGTCGTGTCTGCGGCATTCCGCGAGATCACCCGTCGTCGGCGGTCTGCACTTGGCCAATATCGCCATGTATTCGCGTCCAGCGAGACGGCCAAGCCGGGAGACGAGGCCGCCACGTCCCGCTGTATTGGATGCAGTCAAGGCTTCACGCGATCACAGGGCCAGCTGTCGCCGCGTTCTACACGCTCGTGCCACTGTTCTTTGTCGACTAGGAGGCTGCAGGTCGTGTTGTGGGCGAGAACGGCGTGCCAGCGGACATCCACAAGGCCGGGCAAGCCGCGAGGACGGTGTACCTGTCCGACAAGTCGTCGTGGTCGCGGCAAACGGCGATGTGACCATACATCGACGTCCGGCGAGCGAGGTTGGGAGGCGACGTGGAGTACGAGTGTTGCGACGCGCACCATGTCCGCTGTCCGCGTACTCGCCGCTGGCACGACGACTGGACTGCGCCTGTTCAAAGTGTCCGCCGGTCGAAGGTGGTCGTGCGCGGTACGGGGTGTGGACGCACTTTGGGCCTTCGAGAACGCGCGGAACGGTCATGCGGGGACGTGGAGAAGGGAGTGAGGTGAGCTGTAACTGCACTGGAAGCGAGCGACACTCACCGTGCCTTGTTCGATCCGGCGCTAGTTGCAGCACAGGAAGGCGTCCACTGCGAGCGGGCCGTTTCGACAGGGGAACACGGGTAACGGCTCCAACGGGAGGCGACTGACACTCACTGCGCGCGCTGTGCCACGGACCGTGGTGAGTGCGCTGTTCCGCCGCCACGCACGCTGAGAGCAGGCCCCGGTTTGCGATGTGAGTGTCCCCGCGGGGAGGCGGACGTATGGTCGTACGAAAAGAAAGAGAGACGGACGATCGAAAGAAGGCAACTTTTTTCACCCGCCAGCCAATCACAGCCCGCCGATCGCCTCAGGCGCCCGCTCCCGTCTCTGACCGTAGTGTACTCCCTGACATGCCGAGCTGTGCATACTCAAAGAACACATCGTACCAATGAACACAGCACCTACCTTGACTCGAGCCACCACCATCTTCCTTCTCCCGCACGAGCGCGAACGACTACGTGACCGGCTTTCGCGTTCGGTACATTCAACACACTACTATGTATTTGCATCGTTGCCGAGTTATTCTCAGTCAATGAAGTCGTGCGTTTCCGAAACTGTCAGTTAAACTGGGAACTGACCTCGTGTGGACAGCACGGAAGAGCGGTCGACACAACGCAAGGCGACATTGGGGCGAGGCTTGCACTATTGAACGGTATGTTGGATATGTGTCTCGTCCAACAACACCCCTCGCTCGAGGCGTAAAATGGCGATTCAACTGGGCGCCCCTGTACGGACCGGAAGGAGGGATCATGCGTCGGTGACTTTTGATCAGCCCAGCCATATCGGTCGACGTCCTTGGTCATGGCGACCTTTGCTCAGCTGGCTTCTCTGGCTTCCTCTTCGCCGTGCGACTGAGGCCACTGTCTGCCCACAACCTCAAGAGCCTCTCCTCGCAGTTCCCAGGAGACCTCCACGCACCCTCCTTCTCTTCTCATATACCCTCTGCGTTGCACCCAGTCCTCGACTCCCTCAACCCCCCGTACCACTACTCTCTCAACTATGGTCGCCATCGAGAAAGGCTTCGAGCGGCTCAAGAACTCCCGCAGCGTCCAGAGCTTCAAGGAGCTGCGTTCGCGCCCTCCGCGTCCGCTCAAGAAGTACATCTGGATCTCGCTTACCACCTGCTTCCTCTTCTTCTCCGCATTCCTGCTCTATCTCCTCGTCGCGCTCTCCACGCCCATCATCAAGGACATCTTCATCTTCCGCATCCAGTTCACCCAGGAAGATGGAACCGTCCCCTCTACGACCGCAACGGACCTCCGCTTCGGCGTCTGGGGCGTCTGCGCCTACAGCGAGCTCCCCGGCTTCGTCGAGTGCTACGGCCCGACGCTGGGCTACACCATCCCCGAGAGCATCCTCAACATAACCGGCTACCCCACTCTCGTTGAGGACGTCGACGAGGTGCTTACCGGTATCCTCGTCCTCCACCCGATCACTGCGGGACTCGCGTTCGCGAGCGTGTTCACCTCGCTCTTCCTCGAGTCCCACGCGATGTGCATCATCTCGCTCGTGCTGTCCATCATCACCCTCCTTGTCGGCGCCCTCGTCTTCGCGATCGACCTCGCCCTTGGTATCATCGGACGCATCAAGATCGCGGCGCTCTCGAACTACGTGTACGCCGTCAGCTGGGGCCCGGGCGTGTGGATGATCCTCGCGGCGGTGATATGTCTGTTCGCGGGCATGATCCTGCTCAGCGTGACGGTGTGCGAGTGCTGTGGGGTGCGCGAGTTTGGCGACGAGGATAAGGAGGCGGAGACCCTGAACGAGGCGTAGCGCGGAGGTACGTGCTCGTTGCGCGTCTGGCTGTATGTGTCTCATATCTGCCACGCAGCCCCGCTGCGCCCTTGAGCGACATCTCTGTGTACTCGCCCGTCTGCGAAACTCCCCAGACTCAATCAGGGCTCGCCTCGCGAGTCCGGTGTTCACGACCATCATGACCGAATCACGACCCGCGACGATTCCTCACGACCCGGTCACGACCTGTCACGACTGTTGTCGGGCCCGCGGCTGCACGCCCGCTGTGCTGTCGCTGATGCGGCGGTCCCGATGATTCCTTAGCTCGATACCATGCTCTGTGCTCTGGCTTTCGGACGCTTTTTTCTGGTAGTGGAGGTGCGGACGTACATTCCGCCCATCTGTGTAATCTCCGTCATGCGGAGGATGCTGCAAGACACAACATTCTTCGACGGGATGTTCATCCCGGCGGGCATGGTTGTCTCGGGCCCAGCGAGCGCAAGAGACCGGTCGGCGAGTGACGACCAGTGTCGAGGAGGGCCGTATACTGTACCGGACTCTGTTCGAAGGCGCAAACGGTAGAGCCGTCGCTACTCTGCCTGTTACATTACGCGCGTGTCGCTGGCCGCGCCGTGACGGCCGAGGCGAAGCGAAGTCCATGTATTGCTCGATAGTAAAATACACATAATTGAAGTACATCGACAATGAGCAGCCGCGGACGCTCGTTCACGCAGTCTCTCGACTTGTCTGGTGTGCTAGCTCCCGCGTACCCCTTGCTTTCTGAATGCCTCGAACCTGATTGAAGCCCCCACACGCCCTCGCTGCGCTGGGCGACCGTGCCGTCGCGCAGCCGACACGCCCGCGACAACGAACACAGCAACGTCGTTTGCCACGTACAAAGTGGCCGCGTGGTCAACAGCGAACCGCGTGGCTGGTACAGGCGACGAAGTAGGAGCCGAGCGTGGCAAGGAGAACTGTAGATAGTACGCACGTACCTGCGACTGCGTGTGACCGCCTCGCCTGAATCTCATCCGCAGAAGTCGTCTCCAGCGGTGAGATGGTCTATGCATTGGCGACGCGTTAACACAAGTGAAACACCGAGGAGTAACGCATGCGTACCTGCTCTGGTACTGTCGAAATGATGACGCCGAGGTAGCCTCCCTGGTACGCGTCAGTGCTCGTTGTTGAGCTTTTACGCGGTGAATGCCGCGTGAGCAGGGCACCACTTGCCTTTCGAACGGGCTGTTTGGCTTTGAGCATTGGCTGGGTCGTGGCAGACGTGGAAGGTTGTGTCAAAGTCGTTTGGGACGGAGGTGAGTGGTGCTGATGGTCGCTGGCTGAGACATCGAGACGCGCCGAGATGTCGTGCGCCGACTCGGAGATCACAGAGCCAGTGCGTTCTGATTATGCTAGAACAGTCGCTGTTACAGATGCATGCACGTGTCTGCGAGGGAAGACATACCTCATAGACACGTTCCAATGACGGCAGAGACTCGCCAGGAGGCCTCGAGCCCGTTGACGACAGTCTACGGTGACCGACTGCATCTACCGTGAGGGGAGCGTGGGGCGTTCAGACAGTACATATGCCAGATCCACGGGAGCTTGCGCGCCGCCTAATGGCCATCTCGACGTCGAACTTGGACCGGGTCGTGGCGGATGCGAGAGTCTGTCGATGAGCTGGCCGACCTGATAGAAGAGGTGACGTAGCCGGGATGGAATGAACTGGATGACACGTCGAGATATGGGTGCAGGAACGTTGCGGTAATCCATCAAGCTGAGACGGGCCTCGGAGCTCGGGCTGGGGCAGTGACTCGAGAGCGAAGCAAGGAACCGATGGACAATGTCCTGGACAGCGAAGCAGGCCGGCGACGTGTCTGTAGTAGTACGTACGGGTCAACGCATACACTGCTCACGGCACATTAGCGTCGTCGGCGGACAGCACGGTGATGCAATACAGTACGTCGTCTAGCACCTGAGTCGCTCGACGCTACGGTTCTCGATCGCCGCAGCACGTTTCAGCAATATCCCGCGAGTTCCGCCACGGACTGACGCGTCGATCGTCGGGACATACCGCCACCTGGACGTTTGCCAGGGCCGCGTCTGGCAAGTGTCCGACGGCGACGGCGAATGTGTCGAGGTGACTGAACACGTTTCGCAGGGTGCTGTCATTCATTGTACTCTCACTGACTTCACGTTCGGTCGCGTCTCATGTTTGGTCAACTCCGGGCTGCCCATATGCTGCCTGGCACCATCATCGCGCGCGACGGGTCCAGTAGTAGTGCATCTACGACCGCGTCGACGCACCCGCCTTCCCAATGCACATTGACCAAATCGCATGGACCACGACACGCCACGTCAGTGTCTCCGTCGTGATGCGGCACTCTGGCAGTGAATCCATGGCCCCTCCTCGCTGCGTCTCTCACCACCCGCCGTGCCTGAAAATCTATGTTCCAAATGCACACGGCCCTGGACGCGGCTCCGATGTTGACACGTCACGAAGCGATCCAGCCCATCATGATGTCTCTGCCTCGGACCGACCGCGTGTGCGCACCCACGGTATGTGCGTACTTGTCGTGGCTATAGAACGTCTCCGACGCCCTTCGATACCCAAAATCGATGGCCGAAACAAACACTCACCTCACTCGTCGGCCACTAACATCGTGTTTTACGGTGCCTGGCGGGTGCAGTTGGACTCGGGCTGCTCGATACGAACACCGAGCTAGGTCAGCAAGACTGGTAGGTCCCACCGAAGCGAGGAGATCAAGTGACGTACCGTGTCAAGCCTGGTCGAACCACAATGCGTGGTGCCGCATGAGAGCGGTGAAGGGGGATGGGTAACGCGGAGGGCAAACAACGTCGGGGCGAGTCTCACGTCCCGGCGTCTCCATGATGCGGACCGCCAAATTCCACAACACGCAGACGGGGGATCATCTCACCCACGGAGGACGGCTGGAGATGCAGCTCGAGGACAGGCTGATCCGGTGGCTTTCCGTCGTCCAGCCTTCTTCCGGCATGCGACAATGGTAGACCGGACGTGGTCCTGCTTGACGAAGACCAGTGAGTGGAATGGTGAACATACTCTACTCCGACTCACGCGAACCACTTGCTTTGAGAAAACAGTATCCACTGCAGACGAAAGTGGCGGCATGGTCCCAAGTCAGGGTACGTTACGGAACCGGCTAGGAACGCGGCAGATGAGTAGGGTTTGATTATGAGCAGACATTCTCCTAACCAGGTACAGTGTACTCACTCGACTGCAACATTCCTCGGCATCCCGGTGCCGTCTGGGATCACTGTTGGTACAAAGATATCAATACTCGTGCCCCAGGACAGCACCAGTCGACTCACTCCCATTGACGTGTCCCGCCGTGTGGTTCGTACGTCGCGGTTCCTGGCTTGAGTACGGGGCGCAGTTATCAACTTGGAACCACATGTTCATATCGAAGCAAGGCGCGTCGGCGAGAGGTCATGGGTCAAGCATACTGACCCAGGACGAACCGTCTGCCTAGGATCGGCTGGCACTGGCGGTGGTCTCCCTGTCTGGTCGGTGATAGCGGGCAACTTCATATGAGCCTACCAGACGGATGCCGGATAAAACGGTCAGTGTCACATTCCGAGAATACGAAAGAGTGGGCTTACATCTGCGGACAGAACCAGACGTCAGCGCATATGCCACGTGCTTTGTCTGTAATGTCAGCCGGGATCGTGCATACCCTGCTCAGAGATGACACACCAATAATCGCGTATCATGTGTCCCTTCGGAACGACGTATCCTCTGCTGAACGGACTACGGAGGCGTGTATTATGTTGATAACACTTCGATCGATGTACAGCATACTGCACGGCCCAAATGTCAGTCCTTGACAAATCCGAAATGAAGGAGACATCAACAACGTACATGATGATTTGTCATAGACGATAGCTGACTGCTGCTATGTGCGACTGGCAAACCAAACATCAGGAGTGAGTGTATTATGCTTGATGAAACATCAAGCCACCAGGTCAGCAGAAAGAAGACGATCTCTTCCGGATGCACGTCACTTTGATCCAAAGCACTGGGTTTGAAAGTGAGCAATTGTCGCCGTACCACCGGTGTTGAATGCTATTGTGACTGTGAGTTCACTAGTCTCGAAAAGAATACACGCAGAACTTGTCTCACCGTTGAATGCCGCGCTTGGACATATACCGCACAATCGTCACAGCGTGCTTGATCGAAAGATCATTAGACGGAAGAGTGGATGGTAGAAGGGGAGAGTGCAAAGCAGAGACGGGCAGGATGATGACTGTGGGTGAATTCGAGTCGGCTTTATAGGCCACTGGTCAGGGGAAGCCGTGCCCGCGGTGGTCCGTGCGCACTCGGAGAATTCCCAGGATACATCGTACCATGTTTCAGAATAAACTCCGTGCCGCGCCGGGTGTTGATGCGCCGAATTTCCCTCGCCTCGCTCGCGTCTTGCCTCGCCTGTGTGACCCATCTGTAAAGAACACTCCGACGGCGAGTTGGCCATCGCCGGACAGCACTGTTCCTTAGTGTTTGATGGATGGCATGTGGGCGCCTACCTAGACATATGTTCTTCGGGTATGCGCACGTAAAGCTCACAATCAGGTCGGGAATCCATAGCAGGCAGTTCTTTCGGGGCAATGCAAGAACAATGGACAACAGCGAGGATGTTACATAGGAGCTGACAACCAGATGCTGGGGAACGCTACCAAGATCATGGAACGTCTGGGCGAAAAGCTCCGAGTGCAGAGACATGACTGTTCGCAGCAGAGGAGGACAGGAAAGAGGACGAAGGAGGACGGCGAAATAGGCGCCCGCCGCCACAGCGGTCAAGAGCCTCGTGTTTGGCCATCGGGCTGCAATCTCGGTCTCATCCACCCGCCTTCGTTTGACTCGCACCTCATCCGTCACTGCAGCGGCAATCCTCCATGTCCGCCGTGAAGTGCTTAAGATATGCAGACTGTGCATATGCTGGATTGGTATGTGAATATGGCCGTGTAGGCCAACAATAGCTAGTACTCTTCAATAGTAAGTATCTGCGAGTCTGAGTCCGAGTCGAGTCCCGCCGGCCGTGATTGTTACGACAATGGGACACTGTCAGTATACTCATCTATGGTATTTTCTCTGTGTCATACAAGTGACATTGCATAGAAAGCCGGAATACATGTTTGTCATCCTCGGGGAGGACACTGTTCTCCGAGGATATCTTCCGGAATTGGGCTATTCCAAGGCCGGCTGGTATCCTCGGGTAGTGATGCCCTTCCCACCGCGGAATTACGGAACGAGACTCATCCGCCTCGGAACCCCCGGCTCGCGTAGAAGTGTTTCAGGCCTAATTGCCTGATCTGAGATCTGTGAGGTCAGACTCTCGTCTCCGAGACTGCAAGTCTGTCAGCCTTCAAAATGGATTCATTGTGAGTTCTATGTACATGTGAGGCTATAAGATAAAAAGAGGCAATGGAAAGAAAAGAGGCATGAGCTGAATATGTGCCAAGGAACACTTCCAAAACAGGGGCCTTAGCCGCCATCAGTCACCAATCCTCGGAACAGCGGAGAGCGCTTAAGGACAATAGCTGTGGCTGAGACACTGAAACCGGCAGCAGAAATTGAGCGGCCAGTGGTCTGACGATAGAAAATAAAAATACACTATAAGTATCCTGGCCCTTCGTGCTCGCAGCCTTGTCCATCCTTATGTCACTATGCCCTACTATGCTACATTCCATCCCATTCACTATGTCATGCTTGACTTCGTTGTCGCACAGGTACTTAGTGAACTTAATTATCTCAGCTCGCAACTACTGACATTTGTCTATGACAGATCCTCTCCCGCATGCCCAACGGAGCATGAAATGCATGTGTCGCAGCAGGTATGCTCTGTTCTCGACGTCATGTCTCACTCACTCACTCACTCGCTTCCCCGACAGCAGCCTTCCCGGTCACGCACAAACTCGGTGTCGAACGCCTGGCTCTATGCCCCGCTCGGCTGGCCAGACGACGTGGAAGAGCATCGCCGGCGAGTCCCCGAGGGCACGTAGTCTGCGCAGAGGTTCGTCGTCGACCCGCTCGTCTCACTAGTGACTGACGCATTTCCGACAGCTTGCGCATCCTCTGGCTGAGCGAGCGAGATTGCCGGCCAACGCTCGCCAGGCGTCCGTGCGGAGAATCGCACGAACACCCGCCGTCCGACAGCCGACAAGGCCATTGCAGCCCTGCAATACCGTGGTGGGCATCCCGGAAGACCGGCGACGCCCCATTCTCACTTTGGCGGGATTGTACGGGCCTCATTCGGTTGCTAGACCCATGTGCCGACGACGTATTGCTGCACGTCTATGTCTGCCGATCACGTCCCGCTTGGTGAGTTCATCCCTACTGCGTGCTTGTGAGGAGCCGTAGCTTACCTCGCCTTGCACCGGTCGACGCAGGACCAGTATCCCGTGATCTATACATCAACGTTCTTCATACGAGAGTCGCCCGGTCCCCGTGGATGCCCAGCGCTGCCCGGAATGCACGCCCGATCCTTGGAGTGTTGCGGGCGGCAGAGAGCAACATCCATGCCCAGCGTGAACCCGCCCGGTGAGCCTGCGTTCCTAGGTGCACGCTGTTAGCCATAGCTTACCTCGTTTCCCGCAGGTCAAACCGACATGCTCGGACGATGCGCAACGGTCAGACATCCGGGTCGCCCGCCTCTCACCGCCCGCGCCCGACGTGTCCCAGGCGGCCGAAACGGCAGCCCGTTCGCACACATCCTGGTTAGTCCACACCTCTGTCAGCGTTCACCACTGACCTAGCCTATCACAGGCTAACATCGCGCGAATGTCCCACCGCCGATCTGATGTGACGTTGACGTTCGTTTGTGGGAGCCGACGACCATCCGTAGTGACTCCGGACGACTTGCATGTGCTTGACCATGTCACGAAGCCCTTAGACGCGTCGCGTCGCGCAGCTCGCCTGGTCAGTCAACTCTGCTTGCTGGTTCTAGAGTGGCCACCACTGACCTGGGCTTTCATACACCAGCACTGCACCGTTAGCAGTCGACGTCCGAGCACCCCGCTGTTCATGACCAGCAATGTCACGACGTATCGGCGTCCGGCGAGCGGGACCATTGGGAACTCATCCCCGCCGCACGTCTTCTTCGTCCGCCGCGCGTCACTCTCGCCGGCGTTACCCTCCCGCGACCCTCGTTGCCGGGGCGTAGGCAGTTGCCTGCGCTGCCCAGTTGCCTCCGACACGGCACGCGATCGGCAATGTAACGACGTATCGCCGTCCGGCGAGCAGGGCCACTAGGAACCCACCCCCGCTGCGCACCACTCTCGTCGGTGTTACCCACCCGAGCCCCACACTGAGGCTCGTCGCCGGGGTGTGGGCAGTAGCCTGCGCTGCCTGCTCGGCGCGCGATTGACGATGTAACGATGTATCGCTGTCCCACGAGCAGGGTCCCCAGGGGTGTCATCCGGCCTGCGGTAGTTGTCAATAGCCCGTCACCCTCGCACGCGGCGACCTCGAGGCGAGCGGGATGAGAGGGCGCTGGACGAGGTGCAGAGAAGACGGTACGGAGATCGGGACAACGGACGCGTTGCGTGTGGTTACACTGCGCAAGTCCTCCTTGGCATCTCCCCCCTCGTCTACAGCCTGTACTGGGCCAGCCGGGTTATGAGCAAGGTGTGGCGGTCCGGCTGCAGTCGAGGCCTGCGTTGCGTCTCCACGCCCTGCGCGTCAAGTTGCAGTCGCTGCGAACGACGATGTCACGACGTATCGCCGTCCGGCGAGCAGGGTCCCCAGGGGCATCATCCGTCCTGCTCTGTGTATGTTCGTCGATGCTCCCGAGTCGCTCGTTGCCCCGATATGCAGCAAGCTTGATGTCGTCATCCTCCGCTCCGGTTCGTCACTGGACTGCCTGGAGCCTGCGACCGACAATGTAACGATGTATCGGCGTCCGGCGAGCGGAGCCCGTCGGACGGACGCATTGCAGGTCCCTGCCCTGCGCCATTCGTCGTTGTCCGCAGTCGCAGTCTGTCTGTACGTGGGTCTTCACTGCCGCGGTGAACGACGGTGTCTGCATCCGGCCAACGGGGTTGCAGAGCAATGGCATGGGGTCGTCCAGGCTGCAATCAGCGCGAACGATAATGTCACCACGTATCGGCGTCCGGCGAGCAGGGTCCAAGGAAGCTCGAAGAGGGGTCGCACGATGATGGGGAGGACGGACGTGTCGTGTCTGCGGCATTCCGCGAGATCACCCGTCGTCGGCGGTCTGCACTTGGCCAATATCGCCATGTATTCGCGTCCAGCGAGACGGCCAAGCCGGGAGACGAGGCCGCCACGTCCCGCTGTATTGGATGCAGTCAAGGCTTCACGCGATCACAGGGCCAGCTGTCGCCGCGTTCTACACGCTCGTGCCACTGTTCTTTGTCGACTAGGAGGCTGCAGGTCGTGTTGTGGGCGAGAACGGCGTGCCAGCGGACATCCACAAGGCCGGGCAAGCCGCGAGGACGGTGTACCTGTCCGACAAGTCGTCGTGGTCGCGGCAAACGGCGATGTGACCATACATCGACGTCCGGCGAGCGAGGTTGGGAGGCGACGTGGAGTACGAGTGTTGCGACGCGCACCATGTCCGCTGTCCGCGTACTCGCCGCTGGCACGACGACTGGACTGCGCCTGTTCAAAAGTGTCCGCCGGTCGAAGGTGGTCGTGCGCGGTACGGGGTGTGGACGCACTTTTGGGCCTTCGAGAACGCGCGGAACGGTCATGCGGGGACGTGGAGAAGGGAGTGAGGTGAGCTGTAACTGCACTGGAAAGCGAGCGACACTCACCGTGCCTTGTTCGATCCGGCGCTAGTTGCAGCACAGGAAGGCGTCCACTGCGAGCGGGCCGTTTCGACAGGGGAACACGGGTAACGGCTCCAACGGGAGGCGACTGACACTCACTGCGCGCGCTGTGCCACGGACCGTGGTGAGTGCGCTGTTCCGCCGCCACGCACGCTGAGAGCAGGCCCCGGTTTGCGATGTGAGTGTCCCCGCGGGGAGGCGGACGTATGGTCGTACGAAAAGAAAGAGAGACGGACGATCGAAAGAAGGCAACTTTTTTCACCCGCCAGCCAATCACAGCCCGCCGATCGCCTCAGGCGCCCGCTCCCGTCTCTGACCGTAGTGTACTCCCTGACATGCCGAGCTGTGCATACTCAAAGAACACATCGTACCAATGAACACAGCACCTACCTTGACCTCGAGCCACCACCATCTTCCTTCTCCCGCACGAGCGCGAACGACTACGTGACCGGCTTTCGCGTTCGGTACATTCAACACACTACTATGTATTTGCATCGTTGCCGAGTTATTCTCAGTCAATGAAGTCGTGCGTTTCCGAAACTGTCAGTTAAACTGGGAACTGACCTCGTGTGGACAGCACGGAAGAGCGGTCGACACAACGCAAGGCGACATTGGGGCGAGGCTTGCACTATTGAACGGTATGTTGGATATGTGTCTCGTCCAACAACACCCTTGTCGCTCGAGGCGGAAAATGGTGAATACAACTGGGCGTCCCTGCAGGGACCGGAAGGAGGGATCATGTGTCGGTGACCGGCGCACGTTCTGATCAGCCCAGCCATATCGGTCGACGTCCTTGGTCATGGCGACCTTTGCTCAGCTGGCTTCTCTGGCTTCCTCTTCGCCGTGCGACTGAGGCCACTGTCTGCCCACAACCTCAAGAGCCTCTCCTCGCAGTTCCCAGGAGACCTCCACGCACCCTCCTTCTCTTCTCATATACCCTCTGCGTTGCACCCAGTCCTCGACTCCCTCAACCCCCCGTACCACTACTCTCTCAACTATGGTCGCCATCGAGAAAGGCTTCGAGCGGCTCAAGAACTCCCGCAGCGTCCAGAGCTTCAAGGAGCTGCGTTCGCGCCCTCCGCGTCCGCTCAAGAAGTACATCTGGATCTCGCTCACCACCTGCTTCCTCTTCTTCTCCGCATTCCTGCTCTATCTCCTCGTCGCGCTCTCCACGCCCATCATCAAGGACATCTTCATCTTCCGCATCCAGTTCACCCAGGAAGATGGAACCGTCCCCTCTACGACCGCAACGGACCTCCGCTTCGGCGTCTGGGGCGTCTGCGCCTACAGCGAGCTCCCTGGCTTCGTCGAGTGCTACGGCCCGACGCTGGGCTACACCATCCCCGAGAGTATCCTCAACATAACCGGCTACCCCACTCTCGTTGAGGACGTCGACGAGGTGCTTACCGGCATCCTCGTCCTCCACCCGATCACTGCGGGACTCGCGTTCGCGAGCGTGTTCACCTCGCTCTTCCTCGAATCCCACGCGATGTGCATCATCTCGCTCGTGCTGTCCATCATCACCCTCCTCGTCGGCGCCCTCGTCTTCGCGATCGACCTCGCACTCGGTATCATCGGACGCATCAAGATCGCCGCGCTCTCGAACTACGTGTACGCCGTCAGCTGGGGCCCGGGCGTGTGGATGATCCTCGCGGCGGTGATATGTCTGTTCGCGGGCATGATCCTGCTCAGCGTGACGGTGTGCGAGTGCTGTGGGGTGCGCGAGTTTGGCGACGAGGATAAGGAGGCGGAGACCCTGAACGAGGCGTAGCGCGGAGGTACGTGCTCGTTGCGCGTCTGGCTGTATGTGTCTCATATCTGCCACGCAGCCCCGCTGCGCCCTTGAGCGACATCTCTGTGTACTCGCCCGTCTGCGAAACTCCCCAGACTCAATCAGGGCTCGCCTCGCGAGTCCGGTGTTCACGACCATCATGACCGAATCACGACCCGCGACGATTCCTCACGACCCGGTCACGACCTGTCACGACTGTTGTCGGGCCCGCGGCTGCACGCCCGCTGTGCTGTCGCTGATGCGGCGGTCCCGATGATTCCTTAGCTCGATACCATGCTCTATGCTCTGGCTTTCTGTCGCTTTTTTTGGTAGTGTAGGTCGGTGTAGGTGCGGACGTACGTTCCGAGTGCTCGGACCGCTGAAGCGGTGTTGTTCTGACCTCGCGGAGGACACGTGCTCAGTGGTCGGGCTAACGTTTGCAATGCACTGTTGGTTTGGCTGTCCGTCTACGTGTGCGCTGTTCATCCAACGAAGCTCACCGTTTCGGTCGTGCTCTCAGACTGATCTGAGTGGGATGATATCGGCTAGCGATGTGTCTGTACTGAACTCCGGCAGCTTGCAACATCCATCCATGTGACCGAGCCTATTGTAGGTGCGTCCTCGAGTTGATGTAGTACACGATCGACTGACTATCTGCTCTACATGTGCGCAACATCGTCTTCTGAGTGACGCCAGACAGCGGTTGGTCAGTGGACTGGGTCTCGACGATCACGTCACTGACACGCAGGAATCGCTCGTGGACTGCCCTTCCCTCGATGAGACATGACCTTGTCCATCAGCTCTCTGTCGCCAGCGGTCAGCCGGATGCTCCTGAAACGCCGAACACGTCCCAGTGCAGTAGCGATGCGGTGGCTCGGCACTGGCAGTAGCTTGTGAACTTCGAAGCGGATTGCCACTACAAATACATGGTGCTCAAGGACCGGAGTAATAGAACCACATCCAGTCGCCACTGCGCGTGCAGTGGCTTGACAGTCCGAGGCTTTGACATGACCGATCCACATAGACTTGTACTACGCATCTTCGTAGGTCATTCTGTTAGTGGGACACCGTGTTATGCATTTACGTCACAGATAATGTGCAAGTTCTCGCTGTGGTTTAGCGACGCTCGCTATTCTCGCGCCACAGGTGAACCGGTGACATTCGACGTCCGCTCTGGCTTGATCGGCGCCCGGAAACCCTGCGGTCGCAAAGACATCCAGTTGAAAGGTAAGAGCATCTCATAGCATCTCATACTTATACTTCGTCCAATCGGTCTGAGAATACTCACTGATCGGATCCAGTAAACTCTAAGCAAATATGACTGGTCCGGCCCGGCGTCACTCTAAAGTTAAGCTTCTCCAGCGGGAACGGTTCGAATTTCGAAACATGTCACCTGGCATTGACCTGGCACAAATCATGTAGTCTACAATTGCCAGTGAGCGACGCCATCGAAATTGCAGAACTACGAGATCGACCTCTGTGATAGGTTTGTATGTCAATTCCGAGCTAATTTTACGACGCTCAGGCGATAGGGCGATTCACTACAGGTGCAGCGTTTCCGGTGGGTACAAGACGATATCACGGACGGGTCTGAGAATGGCTCGCGAACTGCCGTTCATATCACTCGATGATATTCCTGCGGCTCCCTGCGGGTATCGTGCGTCAGCATCAGCAAATAGCCGAATGCTACTTATACTCCCACCACATTGTACTTAGTGCAGTGAGTACTAGCGATTCCCCGCATCTACACCCACTTGATATCACGTCCAGGTGTCTTTCAAGACTGTTGTCTTCGACGCCCGATCACGCAGCCGCATCATGACAGATGCACTTGAGGTCGCGAGTGCCGTCTTCGCTGTTTTCGTGTTGACCATCCTCATCCATTGGAGGTTTCATCCGGTAAGCTTTATCGGCGCGTGTTTACATGAGTACAACGATACTAATGCTGGCATGGGTGTCGTTCACAGTTATACACTATCCCGACGGTTGGGCCGTCGCTTCCCCTCCTCTCATTCATAGGTGCCTACAGGTACTGTACTAATGCCCGGGAGGTCCTCCAAGAAGGTTACGCGAAGGTCAGATGTCGTACAAGTATGCAGATACTACCGTAACTGACCTGTCCATATCCCTCCTCAGTACAAAGTCTTCAAGGTCGCTATGCTCGACCAGTGGATTGTGATCGTCAGTGGCGCGGACATGAACGAGGAACTGCGCAAGATCCCGGACTCGCATGCGACTTTCGAGAAGGCAGCTGAAGATGTATGTCGACCCAAACCTCTCTCCATCTAGATCAACGGTGTACCTACTCTAATATTTTGACAGCTGATTCAGATACGATACACTCTGTCAGAGAGTGTTGTTACTCACCCGATTCACATCCCCACCATCCGCGGCCCCTTGACAAAGAATCTGGGAATCCTGTTCGGCGACGTCGTCGATGAGGTCAATGCAGCGTTCGCGGACACCATCGGAAACAAGCTACAGAGTGACGGCGAGTTGAACATTCCCATGCGGTGTCGAACTTACCATTTACATGGGTCGTCCTTTGCAGAATGGATCAGCGTAGACGTGCTGATGACCATGGCAGTGGTTATCTCGCGGGCGAGCAACCGTGTCTTTGTCGGCCTTCCTTTGTGTGAAGTCCATTTTTGAATACAAAGCAATGGCTTGTAGAGCTGATCCGCATTATCAACAGGCCGGAACGAGGTTTATCTTCAAATCGTCCGCCAATTCACATTCGACGTCGCGAAGGGGAGATTCCTCCTCAGCTTGTTTCCGAAGTTTCTGAAGGCAGTGGTTGGTCCGCTCATCCCATGGGCACGCAGGGCCACGCGGGACGCATCGGTGTACCTCACACCCATTGTCGAGGAACGTCAGAAAAAGCTAAAGGCTATGGGTGATGACTGGACGGACAAACCTGTAAGCCGCTAGTGACACAGACTGATTATCACTCATTGAGACCCTTCGGATGCAAGAATGACTACATGACGTGGATGATTGACGAAGCCAACCGGGAAGGCCAGCCTACCCAGGTGATACTTGAGGGTCTCATGGTCTCCAACTTCACTGCCATCCACACATCCAGCAATGTGCGTACATTTATTTATAGTACTATGTACATGCCTATGATGGATGTGTTTCGCTGACGATACACGCACCAGAGTATGACACAAGCAGTCTACCACATTGCAGACTCCCCTGAATATGCGGCGATATTACGCGAGGAGGTAGAGAGCGTTGTTAAGGAGCACGGGTGGACTAAAGTCGCATTTGGTAAGATGTGGAAGTTGGACAGCTTTATGCGCGAGTCGCAGCGGATGAACGGCATCACGCACAGTGCGTGGCCACATACACCCTCCTGTTTCTCTTATTGAATAGTTGCCCGTCTGTGTAGTATCCGTCATGCGGAAGACGCTGCAAGACACAACGCTCTCCGACGGGACGTTCCTTCCGGCGGGTACCATCGTCGCGGGTGCATCGAGCGCGACGCACCGGGATGCGCGCAGCTACCACAATCCAGACATCTTCAATCCATTCCGCTTCGCCGACATGCGTACAGAAGACGGCGCTAGTATCAAGCACCAGTTCGTCAGCACCTCGCCGGAGTACGTGCCATTTGGGCACGGAAAACATGCTTGGTACGTAGCGGGTTTTCGGCCTGTCCGTTGGCAACTGGCGTATTCGCTGATTGATTTTTCTCTGCCGTACTAGCCCCGGCCGCTTTTTCGCTGTGAACGAGCTGAAGGTCATGATGGCGTACACCTTGCTCCACTACGATCTCAAATTTGAGAGTGGGCAGCCAAGACCGGATAACTC